CGAGTATATTTGGGAAATCCCTCAAGGTTTCGAGGATAATCGTAACAGTATACTCGAAAAAGTAATGTTGCCACTTTTTCTCTTTAAACCATGTTCGAATCGTGGAAATTTTGGAAGATCACAGGGTTGCTTTTAGCATTTAGACTCTTAATGCAAAAATGGAGTTGCATTTAGTTGCATTTAGGTGAGGAATTTTGTATGGATAAATGTACATTTAGAGTAGCATTTAGAGCTAAATGTGCTTTTACGCGTAAGCAAAAACAGCCCATAAAAGGCAGAGTATATACAGTAATAAACCTTTTCGCAGTTTTTCACCAATTGGGCCCCGAGGAGTACTTTCGGGTTGTGTGCAACGTTTTCGTTTAGCGCTCACGGCAATACTTACTGTGGGGAATTTCGGCTCGTGATTAGAAAAAGTTCTTTTCGAGGATAAAATATATATAATTGTGTTATTTATGAACAGAATGTAGTTTAAATATAATATCAATGCTTAATTGACAGTAATATCAATAGTAAAGTACATAATTATTGCTTGTCTTTCTTTAAACTGAAAACTCAAATCGTAATTATAGCCCTGAATGGGGTTTTCATAAATGAAAGTTTAAAATCAATAAAATATCCATTGTAAGAATATATTTTTATGAAAAACGTGAATTTTGTGAATTTATCAAGGAAAATTCTCAATTTCCGAATATATTAAATATTTATTCCACAGAAAAAAGGTTTGTATAGTTATAAAGACTCCAAAGCCTGCCAGAGCATCCGCCCAGAGAGCTCATTAAGCACACCCAAGTTTGAGCGACCATTACCTCAAAAATATTCAATATCAAAGTATAGAATGTCACAAATATGAATTATACATACATACAATAGTAATTGGCATGAATGGCTACCGTATAAACTCAGGACACGCATTTGCTTGGAGACTCCGAAGCTTAAGGTGGTCATAAGTCGAAAAAACCCTTCGATTTCGCTCACCGTGCGTGCTTTCCTACCCCGCTGACTTCGCTACACTTCTTGCCGACAAGCTCGACACGTGTGACTTTCCACCCAGGGTGAAAAGTCATCGTGTAAATTGGCTCTAACTTATTTTTACGGTCTAATTAACGGAGCAGCCCGGAACGCGTAGGGAACGACATGAACCAAAAATACAAGATCACGTAAGAACGCGACGTTGTATTTGTAACTGGTTTTGAGAAAAAAGTTTGCGAAAGCGGGTTCGTCAGCTGAGCGTTTGTTTACATAACAAGCACCACTATTTTACACTTTTATTCAAGTAAAGAAGAGTTAATTCAACATGACAACACATTTTAAAGCATTTTGTTGCATCATTTTACCTAAATTGTGCGTTTAAAGTGGATGACAATAATTTTGGCTAATTTTGGTTTTCGTTGTTTTCTTTACTTTGTTTACTTTTCGCTCGTTTTCCAGTGAAACAAGATGGCGTAGAACCCGCTAAAAAAATCGACTTTTTTCATTCTCTTGTTCTTACGTGATCTTGAGTCTTTCGTTCATGGGGGAACGAAGCTAATTTT